TATCTTGACAATGATTCTTCTGCTTCTTCTATCTGCTCAACTCTGCTTCTGAACTCATCTACTGATTTTTTCCCCAATTCTTACATTGTTTATTCAGAATTTGACTTCTAACTTTTTTTTTGTAAAATGTTAATGTTGAGCCAGGTATGGTGATATACACCTATAAACCTAGCACTCAAGAGGCTGAGGCAGGAGGATGCCAGCATTCGAGGCCAGCCCAAGCTACACAGTAAAGCCCTGTCTCAAAAACAAAAGTGTTGGGGGGGGGTGATGGCTCAGCAGCACAGCACCTGCCTGGCAAGCTGAAAGTCCTAAATTCAATTCCCAGTATCCCCAAAAAACAAAGATTGTTGTTCCTGTATCACTTTCCTGATTTCCTTTACCACTTTCTCTGTTTTCCTTTAGTTTTCTAACCAAGTTTAAGATATTGAAGTCTTCATCTAGAGCCAGCTAGGTAGCTCAGCGGATTAAAGGGCCTGCTTAGGCAGATGCAGGGGCAGGGGGTTTGATCCCTGGCCTGCTATGCTGGCCCTGCTCCCAGGGAGCACTGAGATGGCAATTGAGACTGGTGGTATGCATCTGTAATCCCAGCACTTGGGAGGCTATAAACAGGAGGATCACTACGAGTCTGATCTACTCAGTCAGATCCTATACTAAATACATTAAAAAGGAAAAAAATAGTCTTTGTCTAGTAAGTCCAGTTCAGTGTTTCCTCAAAGATACATCCTGGACATTTACTTTGTTCCTCTGAATGAGCCGTGTTTTCCTAATTTTTCATATACCTTGTGAAGTTGCTGAAAATTTGGCATTTGAAATAACAACCATCTCTCAGAGTATCTAATGTTGGGCTCTATGCTCAGGCCAACATTATTATATGAGCATGTACTGGGCATTAGGATTGACCCAAGGTGAGCTCTTTGTCTTGTTAGGTGTTTGCTTGCTTGTTTGCTTATTTAAAAAGGATCTCACTATGTAATTCAAACTACCCTTTAATTCACAACATAGCCCAAAATGGTTTGAACTCAGGGTGCTCCTCCTGCCTCAGCCTCTACTTTATTTCTTTTCTAAAAAATCGCAAGATGTCTAAGATTTAGCATGTGCTCTACTACTGAACATCTCTATTTTTAAACTACATTGCCCAGGCCAACTTCAAGCTTGTGATTCTCCTTTAGCCTCCCAAGTAGCTGGGGCTTCAGACATGTGCCACCATGTCTGGCTAAGCCGCAGCTTTTGTGAACAATGTCCACTGCTTTGTATCTCTTTTCTTAGCCTTGAATCCAATTTATGTTACATTTTTCCACTTGAGCTCCAAGTTTTACAAAGCAAAGACTTTATCAGCAACCCTCATGCAGGAGAGAGCACTGCAGACAAGACCAGTTCTGAGCTCTGTGTAGGGAAAGAACTGAGATCTGAACAGCCACCAGAACAAGACTGTACCACACCAGGAATAGAGTGCACCAAAAATAAACACATGACAAAATCCTACCATTCTAAGTATGATCTTTTCTTGTTAAGCATGCACTTGGTTGTCCTTTTGCAGAGCTCTTCTAAAGTCATTTCAGCCACAGTCTCCAGGATCTTTATTTTTTTTTTTATCGTGGAGAGTGTGTGTGTGTGTGTGTGTGTGTGTGTGTGTTTGCTTTGTTTTCTTTTCTCTTTAGATTGGGA